CAACTCAGAAAAGGAGGGTGAGAATGGTTGCACAACTTGAAAAATGTAATCAGTGTCACTGAATTGTACATGTAGGAACTTGACTTGTGTATGTTTTTGCTGTGTATATTCTCAACAACAACAAACAAATAATTTAAAAAAAAAAAGGTTAGGCATAGAATTACCATGTAACACAGCAATTTCACTTCTAGGTACATACCAAGAAAAAAATGAAAACATATACCTACCCAAAAACTTTTATACAAACGATCATAGCAGCATTATTCATAATAGCCCAAAAGTGGAAAAACCTAAATGTTCATCAGCTGATGAATGAGTAAATAAAATGTGATATATGCATACAATGGAATATTTTTCAGCAACAAAAAGAAATAAAGTATTGATACATGCTACAACATGGATGAACCTTGAAAACATTATGCTAAGTGAAAGAAGCCAGTCACAAAAGGCCACATACTGCATGATTCTATTTATATGAAATGTCCAGAACAGTTAAATCTAACTTACAGAAAGTAAATTAGTAATAATAGTTGTACAACTCTGGGAATACACTAAAAACCAGTTTAAAAAAATGAAAATGACCTATGTCTCTAGACTGTAAGCCTAGAGTTGTAATGGCAATAAAGAAAATGTCCAAGAAAAAGATAAATAAAAAAAGTAATAAGGTCTAAAATGAAAGAAGAGGAAGACAAAACATTGCCCCTATATACAGTCCGATATGAGAACTTTGAGAATTGTGTGCTTCCTCTGAAACTCTAGTGAGCAGCCCATTTTTCTGCAAAGAATTATCTAACTGATTATATCTTTTCATTTTCATTTTTCTTTCAACAAGAATGCCAAGAAAATTGGGAAAGTCAAAGCTCAAAGTCAAATCTGAAGCTCAATTACATCAACTCTGAAAACTTTGGCTTGTTTATCTAGCTTTAAACTTGTTTATCAGACATGTTTTTACAGGAAAAAAAAAAAAAAAGACTCAAAGCTGCTCAGAGAAATACACAAAACAGAAGACAAGAGAATTTAAAAGTAAAAAAGAAGTATAACAACGACCAAACACATACGATAGAATCTTATACACTTACTACAGGTGGGCCACAAATTTAGTTTTAAGCTTTCTAGAAGCCAACCAAATTAGTTTATCAATTCACAGTGTGCTTAAATAAGATAAAAATCAATTGCTCAGGAGAACCACAACTAATCCCAATATTACGAACATATAGGAATTTTTCCAGAAGACCTACATAAAGAATATCCCATGGACCTGCATACCAATGTTCACTGCAGCACTTTTCACAATAGCCCAAAGGTGGAAACAACCAAAATGTCTATCAACAGAGAGATAAACCAAACGTAGTATATACCTCCAATGGAATATTAGTCAGCTGTAAAGAGAAATGAAGTCCTGATGGATGCCACAACAAGGATGAACCACGAAATATTATGCTGAGCAAAATAAGTCAGTCACAAAAGGACAAATACTGCATGATCTCACTAATATAAGTAAATATATAGAAAACAACAATCAATAATGGTTACCAGGGATGGGAAGGCAGGGGAAAGGAGAAGCTTTTGCTTGGAGAAGTATTGGGTTTATGTTAACGGTGGTGGAATATTTTGGAAAACGATACGGATAATGGTTGCAAACCATAAAGAAAGCAATCAATGTCACTGAATTGTAAGTGTAGAAATTGTTGTACTGGTGAATTTTTTGGTGTATACATTTTCACCATGACAAAAAAATTGAAAACAAAAGAATGTCCTATGGGGAAAAAAAATCTCCTCTGGACAGAAACGTGAATTGCACCTAAGAGTGCAATTAAATAAAAGACATCCTTCACTGATCTGGTTTAACTCACGGTACTAGGGGTGAATGAAGT